AAACTTCACCCATTTCTCATTAGAAATCATATCTGTAAAATAATTCAATTCTTGAGTAAATTTTGGCCAAGGCTTTTCAGAGGATTTTAAATGCCGGTAAAAATTTTATTGACGTTCTTCGGCATTAGGTTCGGTCGTTTTAGTATCAGTTATTTCGGAAATCACAGTTCTTTGCATCTTTAGCTTATTCTCTTTTCAACATATTTAAAATAAGCCTAATAGATAAGCTACCCAATCGTTCTTTGGAATTTGTGCAATCTCTGCTTGACGCTCATAATTTAAAAATATTACTGTCATTTCATCTTTATCCTCTCTCTTAAATTTAGGAGTTATTTTTAATAGTTCTATTTTATGATTTGGTTCTGCTGACACCACTCTATCTCCACGCAGATGAGCGTGAGTATTCTATTTTAATTCTAGCTTTCGCATTTCTGAAGCATTTTGTCTCTCTCGATCTCCTTCTAAGCGTTCATTTTCTTCTCTTCGTTTTTATCGCCCAAGTTGTTCTTGCCTAACTCTCTCTTCTATAATTCTAGTCAACGATATTTTCACACCCTCAATCTTATAACTTTTACTTCCCTAAATCATCTTCTTTATTTCAAGCACATATACTTGAGGAGGAACTGTGAGACCTCTCTCCTCGGCTAGATCAGAGAGATCCGATTTTTTTCCTTTATTAAGAAAAGTCATAACTCTTATAGCATTAAAACGGATGAAAAACTGTGTTTCAGTGTATTTTCAAATAACTAGACAACTTCCAATATAATTTAAGAAGTTCAAATTTTCTGAAATAAACCAATTAAACTTTTCAAAAATCCTCAACGCTTACTCTAGTAATATTTCAGTAGTGTTATAACTAACAGTTCTGAAAAATTTATTTTAAGACTTATTACATAAATTCTTAAATAGGGAATAAAAAAACTATAATCTTTGATGTAGAAGTAATAAGAATTATGTGAGGTAATAAGAAATATAAATTTGAAAGCCAGGACTTCTGGTAAACAGTTAGCATATGAACGGAAAAACTATTAAATAAATGGCTTAAATACCTTATACTTTGGCTGCTATAATCAAAATTTTTTTTACTACAAATCGTATTACCATACTGTGTCGCAATTAACAGAAAATATGAAGTTAGTTCTAAAAATTTATTTCAAAACTTAATACACGAATTTTTAAAAGAAAAAAAAAACAAAATATCGCCTTAAAAAATCAGAAGAGAAAAAACAAACATCATATATCGTACTTAACTCGAACAAGATATCTAATTACAGTTCGAGACAATCAAAATATGCTCGTTATGTTACACTATCATAAGCAACTATCTATCTATTTTCAACTACCTAACATATAAAAACCCATATTTTGTTGTTAGTTATGTAAAGAAACAAGGAAAGCAAATGCTTCTAGAAAATTCTTCATTAATGCTGTTTTTTTTTCATGATAAAAACAATCTACGTAGAAATTATCATAGTTTATGGCAAATTAATAATTAGTGTTAGAAGATTATCGCTATATATCTAAATTGAAAATACTAGTTTCGGATTCCCTTTTTCTCCGGAAGTCTTAACATCTGCATTTAAATATCAATTTTTCGAAAAAAGGAAATTATTTTAGAAAGAATTTTAATGATTAACACACTTCTTGTTTTCTAATATATAATTAAGCTAGAAAATTAGTTTTAACAAATAGGAATTTGCATATTGATATTTAAAAAAAAGACTTATCCCCACCACCCATGAAAGAACACTTTGTAACAATTTTCACGAAAAAATCCTATATCAAGATTATTGAATTCTTTTCTAGAATTAGCTGGAATTATTTTAAAACTCATTGAATCATTTTCAAAAACCATTATACTGATGGCCTACAGATTTGTTTAGAAAATTATTGATCACTGTATATTATGTTTTTATTTATATTTTTCATGCATATTTAGTTATAATAATATGCACACAAAAAACACCCAGAGATATTTTTTTTGCCAAAGAAAAATTTGCTATTACCTTTGGCACACAATCATCATAAGTCATTTGAGCAAAGAATTTCCTGAAAATCAGCAGTGAAATCAGTGCAATTCATTATAATCATCATACACTTTAAAATGAATTTCATAAAGTTAAAAGGTTTTGAACAAGCTAAATTATTCATTATTGGAACCAGTATCTAAATTACTAGAAATTTGTTTTTTCTACTTTTAAGACATGTTGACTACGCTTCATCATTTTTATGAAGCTTATCAAATGTTTTACGTGCGACAATAATCTTTTTTAATAATTTTTAAATGTATTCCATATTTCAATTATTTTGATGAGAGTTTCAGACTTATGTTAAGTAAGAAACATTTCAAGTAATAAGTCAAAAGCATGTAAAATTTTGTAATACTTAATGTTTCAGATTTTTAAAAAAAATAATGATTCGCCCCTATTCTAATTAAACAGCAATTACACTGTAAAAAATTCTGGATCAAATTACGGTAAAAAGTACTGGCACCCAGAGGGCAGTATCAGTGATATCCTTTTTCAGTGATTTTTCAGGTATGCACAGTTACTTAGTGACTCAGTAATTTTACAATACTGTAACATCATAGTTTAGTATATGCTGTAAAAATAACGGTAAATTTTCTATAAAAGCTTTACGGTAGAATTGATTTTACGGTGAAAAGCATCGCCCTCGGGGGGAGGGGAGAACTTTTTACCGCATTTTGATCTGTCTCTTAAAAAAGATGACTCGTTTAATATTTCTAAGAAAGAAAATCACCTTTAATCATTAGTTCAACCTACACAGATTTGGATTAATTCATCCTAAATATGCTTGACGAATTTAAACCATATGATTGATCATCTTAACAGCGAATAATAATTCATTTTCTGCAGTAAAATTTGGTATTTTCAAATTAGACTTTCTTACGAGAAAAAAAAATGTTTTTATTTGACTTCCATAAACAGCTTGTTATTCATTTATTTTAAGTATTTCCACTAACTGAAGCTGGAAAACATTTACGTTTAATTAAATAATGTCTGGAATACAGTCTGGTGACATGATAAAAATAATGTTTGGATGAATATGCTATGTCTGAAATTTAAAAATTAATTTTTGCACGACAAAAACAATAATATTTTTGAAGGTCTCATATATCTGTAATAAGAGCACTATATTTCAACATTGAAATTTAAACTAGTTCGCTTGTTCTTTTGACAAAGTTTCTAAGTAATTTAATAAATCGTTCACAAATATGGGAACGTTACTTTTAAAAAGTAACAAGTAAGAGAACAAGTATTTTAAGCAAGAATAACAACTAAAAAGTAAAAAGTAACGATTAAAAAATGCAAGTAAAAGTACAAGTTTAAAACGAAAAAAGTAAGGATTTTAAAGTACATTTCGAGGAAATCAAAAATTGAAAGTAATCTGAAAGTTAATTAAAAAATTTTAAAAAAATATTTAAAATGCATTACATTTTAATTTCATGGTATAAAACTTTGAAATGCAGGAAAATGTTACAAAGTATCCATTGAAATAGTGATGGTTAAAAGAAAACCACACAAGATATTAAAATTCAATGTCTGCACATAAAAGGGAATTTTAAATTATGCTCATTTTGAATTTATGAAATATTTAGAAATTTAGTTTTTACTTTCAGAATTTTAAGTAACAAATTAATTTGTTAAACAAATTTGATAACATTATAATTTTTGTTGAAAGAAATAAGTAAAAAAGAATTGTATTTATATGGAGGTAAATCCATTAAAGTAAGGGTTTCACCTTCCCTCCTACCAGCCACCCTCTCCTTTTCGGGAAATTGAAATCCTTACAGGATTTTGAAAAAAGTAGTTAGCTAATAAAGAATGTATAATACTTTAAATTTATAAATTAAAAAAATAAATTTTAAAAATTTCAAAAAAAACTTTTTAAAAAGAAATTTTTTTTAAAAAATTTCAGAAAAAATTTAACGATTTCTTCCGATGTTCTCATTGCTATTACCTGTATTTTTTCCCAAAAAAATAACGAAAAAATAAGTAAAAGTACAAAATTAAAAAGTAATGAAGTACAATTAAAAGTATTACCATGTATGGTCAGTGAATCACTTAAAAGATCTCATTCGTTTAGCAAAAGCTCACAATATAGTTCTTGAAAATATTTGACAATTATTGAAAACTTAATAAACACTTGAAACTTAATGATAAAACTTAATAATTTGACAATTATTAAGTACTTAATAAAAAAAATAAACTGATTCCTCAACCATTGTAACATTTTTCTATGTAATATAAATTATTACGAAAGAAAAAGGATCTTGAACTTTAGTTATCTAAATTTTTTTTCTAAAAGTAACTATTAAAAAACTACATTTTTTTTTAAATTTTCTATATCAATTAGGTATGTTTGGTATATTTAGCAAGGTTAAGTGAAATTAAATGACATTCACTCTTTTGCTTCCAGTAATCCGACGACTGTTTACTACTTCGATATTATAATCTTTATTATTCATATCAAATTCATTCAAAAAGAGAATTTAATAACTAAAGCATAACTTATCATAAAAGCACATACTTTATTTCAAAAGTATATACACTCTTGTAACTTCAAAGGATATTCATAAAAAATAATAAAGTTTGCATAAATACATATGAATTAATCTATCTCAGTATTGATTGCATAAATGCAGTTATTAAGACAATTTTATATTCGCTTCTTTCTGATTAACATGAAACATAATAAACTAAATTCAGTTCATTTCAGAAGGAAATATGTTTAGTTTAAATCATCAAATAATAACTGTCGTTGAGACAGTTATTGTAAAATTATTAAAATTGGAATTGTTAACTTGTCAGTAAATATCAAGCACAATGGGTATTAATAAATTCATTTCCTCGTTGGTACTTTGTAAAATGCAAAATATTTATTTTTGCAAAATATTGTTTTCGTAATTACAAAATATTTATTAATTGACAACATGTAAAGAGCTTCAAGATTCAAAATAGTATACATGGCTTCTATAGATATATCTCCAGGAACCAAAATCCTCACAACTAAGTCAAGACAACAAGTTGACTTTGGAAAAGTCAGCATTTTCGATTATGCCAAACATCGGTTAACCAAGAAGACAGAATAGCATGGAGATTTTGTCATGGTGAAGTTTCCCAATCTGTGATTTTGAGTGTACACTTTTTTAAATGTTTAATGTCAACAACATACTAGGTTCAAGTACCGAAGTTCCTATGTACCTGTCGAATTAGTAAACTTCTACACTAAATCTGAAGTGCAACCTAAAATGAACTGAACTGAATTCAAATCAATGAAATGTTAAATACTGTTGTAAAAGTTTGATCTTCGCTTTTCCTTTTTGTGCTTTTTCACTATTCCTCATGATTGTTGTCTGGAATCCTTAAGATGTTACGCATGGTTTTGTCGTAATAAATTTATTTTGTGGTTTTGTTGTTATTATTGTTTTTTTGTTTGTGGTTATTTTTATAAAGTTAACTTTATACGTGACTCTTCTCCTTTTTTATCGTTATCGATTCATATATTTGAAATGTTGATAAAATACACACAACCTATCTAGCCAAAGATAAGTGGTGACCTGGACATATAACTAGAAAGAGAAGCTCATCTTATAATATTAACATAGTCAGATAAGGTTGATAGCAACTAAATATAGAATAAAAGTAAAGATTGATAGATAAAGTAGTTAGAGACTAAAGGTAAACATTTTAACATTAGATCTTCAATTAAATTAGTCAATCAGTTTAATTAATAAATTACTCAATTTACATGAAAAATAAATTATGAAAGATGGTAGCATAACCATTAATACTTTCCTAAAATTTAGGGGATATTTTAATTGAGTAATGGTCAGAATCGGGGATAAGCTCTCGAGGACGTCCGAAATTGGAGTTAGATTCGAATTCTTCCACTACTAACTCTACAGCACTAATGATCAATACGAAATCGAACACGAAACTGAAAGATATAAACCGTAACAATTAATGAAGCCTTTTTAATACATGTCAATGGCTTTAGGTAATTAAATTATGCATAAAAAATTTTATAGAAGTTCATCGCATATGAAAATAAAGATTAATTGTAGTCAGTATTATTTCCCTTAATATTTCAGTTCGAAGGCAACTCATGAAACTGAATATTTATTATCATCAAACATTTTTCTCCAGTGCTTATCCCTTTCGGTGAACTGTAAAAATTCTATAAACACAGTACAGTAATACCTACATTTCGTACTGAAAATCACACAAATTGCTATTATTCCTGTAATACTAATTACCAAAATCGATTAAGAATTATTAGAATCAATAATGTATGGCGATTTGCTTACTATTCTTTTTAATGAATTAGTATATTTTCTGTATTGATTTTGCTTTTTGTTACATAAATTATTTTTCGTTGTTTCAATTTACCATTTACTTTTAATTATTTAGTTTTGAAAACCAATTGAACAATACAACACATTTGAAACACGTTTGGAAAACACAACTATAAACAAATAAGCATGCGGCTTCAGATAACTTTAGGAATAATAATTCAGTGACGTAGCATAGTTCAACATACCATTCACGTTGATCACTGAGCCTGTAAAAAATAATTAATTAAAGAACGTGCAATAAAATATTAAACAGAATCGTCCACAATTTCATTCATCCCAATGGCTAATGTTTTAACAGTGTGAATAAAAATAATTTTCAAACAATTCTCCCAAACTTTTGAAATTGAGAGCTAAATTTTCCTGTAATCGATTACAAAATTGCTTATAAACAAAGAAAATTGATTTTGATCGAAATTGGCTTAGCGCAAACTGTTTTGGAGTTATAAGAAATTTGACCGAGCGCTCCAACACCGCGAACATAAAAAAATACTGAGTGAACAAAAATGAAAAGTTGACCAAAAAGGAAATACATATTTTGCTTAAGTATAGTACTTAAAATTTAATCTTATACTCTTAATACCCTTATTCTTAAACGTAAGATTTAAGCTTGGAAAAATGCCACTTCATGTCAACCACATATACTAAAAGAATCAATGAAAAAGTCTGGACTAAATGAGTTTTGGTTGGACGCTTTACTCTGATTACTTAAAATAATGCCGCATTGTATCAACTGGATAATGGAAAATCACCTTAAAGATAATATTATTCAGCTGATTCAGAAAATAATAACACAAAGAAGAGTCTCATGTGTCTGATCTATTTCTCCATTTTCGTTTCTAAAGTATTTTTATTCTTATAATACAATAAATGTTATCACTATCATTATTATTTTTATAGTTAGTAAGTCTTAAAATCATATGTGGTGTTGCATATTTCACTTCAAAGAGATGTTTTAAGCAATCCAATATTTTTCTTTAAAGGGACTGATAGATAGGATTATTCTGCATAATGAATATATATATATATATAAATATATATTAATTCACACTATATATATGTGTATATATATATATATTAACGAATAAATCATGATGTAATAGAAACCTTTCCGAAATCATAATCTTCAAAAAGTCCTGATTCTAAACTATACTTGCTTTGTCTGGTTAAGAACAATGAAAGATAAAAACGATGGTTAAACTTTCTAGAATGTTTTGCTCAATTAGCTATGCATATGATGAAGTGCTCTTAAGGTTCAAAAGGGCAATTTTAAGAGTATAATGCTTCTATAAACTTAAGCTTTTTGGAATTTTTCTTGTTTTCTTGATGTTGTGTTACGTAATTACAAATGTTAATGTGGTGTCTCAAAGCATTTCACTTGGGCTAAATTAGTCGCGTCTTTAGAAGAATGATAAAGTACTGTCTACGTTTAAACTCAAGAATTGTTGTAATTAAAATTACCTTGACGTTTTATATGTTTTATTTTTAGATAGTGTAAGTAAATGATACTTCTGAGGAGACTAATTCATGAAATTTAATTATTTTTCCGAAATCATTAAATTTTAATTTATTTAAATTTATCGTAGTACACTTTTTTTTATTCACTGCTACTTTTTTAGAATGTGAAAAAGATTGCAAAATATATAAATCATACTAAATATTTTTTCAAAAAATATTTTGACACTAATTTTTTCTCATAAAATCTAAAGAGTAAACTATAATTAAAAAAGAATTTTGATTAAAGTCAATTTATTAAGCATATATTTTTCAGTTTCCTCAAGAATAAAAAAAATAATTTAAAGTAGAAGGATTGTAGTATATTTATGATTTTTTATTTCAATTATTTATGTTGCACTTTAAAAACAACAGTCAACAGTCATCAAATCGCGTGTAATGAGATATTGATCCCAGCTTTACTAAAGTTATTATTTCATCAGTTTTCACATAACATTTGAAAATATATACTAGCACCCACAGATTATTTTTTAGTTTTGAACATCTTGCGAGTCGACTTCATTTTCGAGTTGATAATTTAGCTGATTATTAACTACTTTTAGACATAATTTTTCGGTAAGAAAAACTGCTAGATATTTTATGAGGGTGGACCAATATAGTTAAAAAGATTTTTGTACTTAAATATGGTTTCAATAAGTAGGACTCTTAAAATCAATGAATTTTTTGATTTTTCTTCTTAACTAAATACTAGAGCTGCTGTGACTCAGGAAACAGCTATCGCCTCCCAATGAGGTTCCTCGGGTTCGAATCCCGAAACTGACTGGTCATGCGAAATCTACTTAAGACTCGATCCGACCACAATGCTGACGCAGATGGTTTATAGAATTTGAGAAATGCGTTCTCGTTTCATTTGCTAAAATAAAAGAGACACTTTGTTAAAAAACAGAGTTTTTTGCAGTGCTTATCTGCTTAAAAAACTGGCATCCGCTTTTAAATATCAGTATTTTTCTGTGAAATAAACGGATTTTTAACTAGTAAACCAGCTGTTAGCATTTTTCTGTAAATTTTACAATTTTTTAACAATGCTATTTTAAAATGCGTCTATTTGCTTTCTAACTTTTCGTTGTTTTCTTTCACAAAACTAAACAAAAAATTTAATGCAATTTTAAAGCTCTGGCATTGCTTAGAACAAAAGAATTATAATGTTTACCGAACATAGTTTGACAAAAACCAATCTCTTTTTTTTATATCACGTGATAATGATCTTTATATTTCTTTAGATGAATTGATGGGAACAGATAATCGAACTATATATTTTGCTACCAGACTGCTTTTTTTTTTAGAAGTTGGTATTGGAAGTCGTTTCTTTATTCAAAAATATCCTTTCTTCAAACATCGATTTGTATTCATATTTTCCTTTTCATCGGATTTCCGTCATAGTTTTCTTCAAAAGAAAAACAGTATTCTTTTTAAAATAACAATGAAGAAAAGTTCACGAATATGCAATTGTCTCTTAAAGTATTGCAAAATAAGATAACATCTTTGATTTGAAAAGAAAAAAAAAATTCTTTATTTCTCCGAGAAGGAAGTGTCATCTAAAAAGATAAGATCGATGTTAAACAAAAATACTTGAAAGCAGAAATATGAAACCCAATAATTTGTATTTCTGCAAAAAAAAACTGAACACAAAAGTAATGAATTACTTGCATTGTGCAGATTAAGCGATCTGAATTGTCAAATTGTCCCATTTTGAGAATTCATATTAATTGATATCCTACCAAGTAAAAAGATAAATCATATCAACTAAAAAGATAAACAAATAATAATGGTTATGAAATTAACAATACTCGTAATAATGCTCAAACAATTAACCATATAGCAGTCTAAGGTTGATTTTAATGTCACCAACAGCCTTTATCATAAAGCCCAACAAGGTTAATAAATTAATACCAAATAAAACATGCACGCTTGAAACAATGTTAAATTTAACTATGCTAGTTAACGTGATATGAGGTTCAGATTAGTTTGTAGAAACAACACTTGTATATCCAGTTATATGGTACACCAACACACTGGACGGCATTACGTACGAGATTACTTTGATATCTCTCTCATCGGAGGATTGAACTTGTTGCTGACCACAAACCTTTTACCCAATGGCCATCTAAAATTCCTGACCTAACCCCTAACACCTGTGATTTCTTTTTGTGAAGTTAGCACTAGACTTTGTAAAGCATTATGTATTTGTCGCTCCTCTTCCTGTTTATTAAGCGGAGCTAAAAAGTGTATCATAGCCACTATCTATGAATTTGATTTAGATACCTTAACATACGTTTTGCGGAAATTAATTGTTAGTTAGATGACTAGTTAGTTAGATGATTAGTGTGTTTTTTTAGTCTTACGACTAAAAAAACACACATGAGACATCTGCGGCTGTCCAAACAAAACTTATAATAATAATCACCTTGTATATGCAAAAATACAAAATATATGCAACTAGCAGATGCTTAACAAATTGTATTTAAACAAAATATTATACCACGTAAAGTGCAGTGGCAGAGGACACTTATACAGTGGTAGAGGATTGTGTTAATCCTATGTAATATAGAC